GGAAAATATTTTCCTACTTCCATGAAAAACTAAGCGAATCAAACGGACCCTTAGTTATATTTGTAACATTGCTAGCGAGTTTCTAGAAGCCCACTATGAATTACAGGTCCCATCTTCAAATTATCGTGCTTTTTGTCCCTGAGCTCTTTCCATCTTCTATTGTTGTCCTTGAACTTTTTCAGCCTTCCATTTTAGTCCCTAAACTTTACGAATTGTCCATTTTAGTTCTAATTCTCTCGAGTCCCAAAAGTTCTCGGCCTTCGTATAACACCATCCTTTTGTCAAATTGATGCCCGAAATCGCTTCATTTCGCTTTGTTAGCCTCAAATCATGGATTATTTCTACAAAAGTCAAGACTTGTTGATTTAGAAATTGCTAAATTAATGAAGTTTTCGAAAAGACGTATAATTACAAGCTCCAAATTCATGCTTAGATGAAGCTGTTTTTTGGACTTGAACCTTCGCTTATTGATATTTATTCTAAGCTAATCTGTGGACATATATTGAGTCTATCCAATTCGTGTCCCAACTATCGAAGTCTTGCTTTCAATAACTTATCTTCAATCGAGGTAATTCTCACTTGTTGGCGTAAATTCTTCTCATTTCTTATCTATTAACGGGAATTCAAAATATTTGTTCATGATAAAGTTGGAACTTAAGATCTTTTTACATAGGACAAATAATGAATTTAAAGAAATTACGGGGAAAAAAAATAAAAAAATCACACGGATTAAGTTATACGCATAGTTCACCAAGTCAGTTCGTTTACTATTGTGAATAGTTGAACAAAACAAAGGCACAAAGTTTCCAGCTAGCAATTGCTGAAACAGGGTAATATAATCATTATTTTATCTTCAAAACAATGCTTGAACAAGCAAAATCCATATAATGCTTAATTTTTAGATTTTGCCAAGTTTAGATGTGGAAAGACGCAAAAACAAAAGATAAACTAAACGAAGTCAGAAGCAACTGAATCTAGATCCGAACACCTGCGAAATTAACTGAAGTATATTGCAGTTGGCGATCGAGCTTAATAAATTGCTATTTATAAGTTTACTCTTCAAATTTCTGTAGTAGTCACTTGACTCACTTCAATAACTAAAAATGTTTTAAACTTATTTTATGATGATGTCCGAGAAGTAAAGCACGTGAACATTGTTAAGGTGAGAGAGATGGATACAATTGTAATTTATTTTCTTCCAGTTGCTATGATTTATTTTAATCAAGTCAGTATCGAAATAGGTACTTCAAATTTGTCTATTTGTTAATTCCCAATATTGAATTAAAAGAAGCATCATTTTGACTATTTATAATTCCAAGCTGCTGTCAAAAGCATCATCTCTGTTAATTACTAGCATGAAGTATAAAGTGGTAATACCCAAGGCGATGGTAGAGCCACAGGAAGTTGACAATAGAAATGTCACTATCATATTTGGAACTCAGTCTGGTACCGCAAAAGCTTTGCCAAGGTAAAAACTGCATTATGATAATTCAAAGTCTTGAATTGGGTTTTTTCACTTGTGGTTTTGGGTTTTTGGAATTGATTAAAATTGTGATTTTGCAGTTACTGCTATGGAAAGTGGAAGGACTGTTTTACAGTATTTGCGATTGGATCGAGAGAAAAGCTCTGTTGAATTTGATGTAACCAAAAACTCGATTTTCCTGCTATAATTTTTTAGAAGAAGATGAAGTTTTGACCCCATCATTTCATTTAATTTAAATTTTTGATTTTCGGAATTGAGTTTAGGGATTGAAGGTGAATCTAATTATGACAAACTATTCAATGTCAAGGATGATGGGATATGAACTTCTCAAAAACATCAAGGTTAGTGATTTTGGTATTGTTAATTCAAAAAGGAAGGTTTTAGAATTTTCCCTAATACTTATCATGATTTTTAGCTATTCTTGGTTGATGCTGTTGGAAAATGAAGTTTCTTAATGTCGGTCTTCTTTACCTTTTTCAATGAGAGCTTGTTGAAGTTGTGGAAAATACATGTGGTGATTATGTCGTTTAATTGATTGGTAAACTAAATGTACATTTTTTTTCGTTTGGAGCTGGAATTTAACTTTTATTTTGTCTGTTGAAACACGACGAAAATGAGGACATTTTCCTTTGAAACTATAAAATGCTGAACGTCTTGGCTTTAATATATATTGTGCAGCAATAAATAAAGAAAGTTAACTAATGATTTTGTTGGATGAAGGTGCACTAGAATATTCAGAAGTGGACAAAGAAAAAGAGCGATGGCGAAAGAGCAGCTGAGCTTGGGTCGGGTGAAGTACAATGCTAAACCACAAAAGTATCACACATCTGAGGAAATGGCCAATAAATCGGCTACACTCACACCAATTGTGTTAATGTATATACATATATACACACTGTACATGTTAGTTAGTCCCACATTAATTAGAGTAAAACATTCATATCAAGT